GTTGCTCAAGCCCGAAAGGACAGTCTGGTTCCATTGGAACCTGTCCATGCCCTTCAGCGTGTGAAGCTTCTCCTCGAGGCTGATCGCGTACATGTCCTTCAAGTCCAGGGCAGCTTTACGCGTCGTCCCTGTGGGGCGGCGGCCCGCATCACCACCTCGCTTCCCACTCTGACTCTGCTGTCCACCTGCAGAGGTCAGTTCACCGGAGCAAGCACTGCAGAGGGAACTGGGGCTCAAACACGCTGAGCGTTTGTTCAACAACAGTTACTACTTGCTAGCGCCTCACATGTGCCTTCAGCCTGTGGGGTGGGTCTCAAATAGTAAAGATTTGTTTGATCCACCCAGTTCAGTTGCCGATCAAACTGTCAGAATTCACCTTTGGCCAGAAATCAGTTTGACAACCAGCCGTGCCCCAACCAACCTACCGCGTTAAGTGAGCACGATGACTTTCAACCAGGCCTCGCGCTTGCTTGGCGCTGGGAGGAGGATCCCTACCCGAGTTGCTTCGGGGGTGAGGCGCAGGGCCGGAGCCAGGTCTTGGTGGGGCAGGCGCGCTTCCTTCCGCTCGAGGGCCAGGTGGATGGTTTGAGGATGGCAGGCCGTACATGATGATTGCGCCGCAATCAGGTCAGGGTGCGCCTAAAAACCACTCGTCCTGAGCCTTGCTGCAGCTTCAGTGACATGACTCACTGGTGAGATTAATTCCCTACTATTGCCTCGATTGACACTTGCACGCCTACACCTAACGATTACCCTGGGCAGCGACGCATCTCAAGTCAAGCGCACATTGCACCGGCAAAACGCATGTGGCATGTTTCTGCAGGATCGTGTCACTCGGTCACTTGCGACTGCCGACGCGGCAAGCCCCGCCACAGCTACTGCCCTCATGACAACTTGTGCTGCCAGGACAGCTTACAAGCAGCAGCGGGAACGATTGAAAATATCGGCAGCGACGTCAGACCTCTTCATTGATGCACCCCCCACCATGTCAATTCAGTTCAATGTTCAAGCTTCCCCTTCACTGCAACACAGAAACGGTACGTGACGATACTGTTCTAACGAAATGGAGTTTCTGGCCGTTCAGTGACTTACGATGGGGTAGTGGGCAAGTAGTGTGTAGAGAATGAGAATGAGAAACAACGGCACCAGTTCAACAGCCACATAGCCACTCAAATCGCGACTGCGGGGGGTTACTGAAGTCGCCTTTTCCTATGGGTAGCCGCTCATGGATTTGTGACTCATGCCTGGCCGAGGTGGAAAGGTCAGCATCTTTTTTTGTCATTGATGTACCCACAGAACAAGCCAAGTTGAATAGCAGCGAATAATTTCAAGGCAGGCTCATCCGAATCCTTGACCAGCTTGTCTTGTGCAGCTAATTACTCAAAGCGCAAGGTTGCAGTGGCCGCAATTCTGGGAACCTGCTAGTGTTTTAACTAGGCATTGGCTTCAACATCAATCAGGATGCACAGTGTTTGCGCAGCCACTGACTGACTGTAACCTTGTCATTGGTGTGCCCAAGCAAGGATTGCTCGGCGCTCGACTCTACATGTTCCTCGAGCGCTTTGCGGGCTGGGAAGAAGACTCTGCTCCAGCGCCATCAGGACCGGCCGTTGCAGCCTCAACCGTGGTAGTGTTGGCATTGGGACGCTGCGGGGGGAGCCAATGATTGTCAACCTTGTGGTAGCCCTTGCCCTCCAAATAGTCGACCAAGAAGGCTTGGAATCGAACTGGCGCAACACCCCAATTGGAATTCCAATCGTTCATCTCCACCCACCTGGTGTAAGCTTTGTTCTTCAGGGCGAACATGCGTTTGCGGTTTGGAAGCGCTGCAACTTCCTCATCATCAGAAGAGGCTTGCATTGCTTCAAGTCCAGGGATGGGGGAATCAGTGGCAGCATCATTAGAATCAGAAGACTCAAGCTGCTCCCCTCCCTGCTGCCCTTCCTGCTGCTGCGCATTCTCAACTTGGTCCATGTTGCCCGGCATGGGGAAAGGTGAGGCGCTTGAAGCATCCTGACTTTCACCATCCTGGAAGGGCTGAAACTCAAACATTGACCAATCGGCCTCGATGACAGGCTCGTTGCCACAGCCGGAACCCATGTCCCCAAACCGTTCCAACTTCTCCTCGCGGCTCTCCTTCTTTGGAGCAGTGGGTGTGGGAACCCTGTGCTTCTCTGGTGGAGTAATGGCCTCGGGGGACCAAGCATTGCTGTGCTGAACCCCCAACTTGCGAAAAGTTTCAGGAGTTGCTGGCGGAACGTCGGCATCAAGGTCCGAGGCTGGGCCAGTCTCCTCCTGCGATGCTTCAGCCATGACACTCCAAGTGAGGGTTGATGACAAACTGCCCTGAGAACTTGGGATTGGGTCAAGCAAATCTGGTTGGTTGACCAATGCCTCCAGCTGCATGGTCAAGGGTTGCCCCGGCTGGTTGAGCACTGGCTGGTTGCCCACTAGCACTGGCTGGTTGCCCGCCGGCTGGTTTGCCAAAGCCTGGTTGCCCACAGGCTGCCCTGGCTGGTTGGTCAAAGGCTGGTTCCCTGCCTGATTGATCTCGCAGGTGCATGGTGCCAATTCCCCAGGGAACCACTCAGCTTGGCACACTGGGCACTTGGTGTGTTGCGCCGCCAACTTCCTTTCACCCTTCTTGAAAGGCGTGGATGGCTGAGGAGCGCCCGACATGCCAAAGAGGACAGAGGGGTTGGGGCCGACTATCAGCGGAGTCAACTTCACAGCTGTGCAATTGCTGCGGGCATTTGTTGATTCAGAACTCATGGAACACCGCGCTGTGGCAGTCTTTGGTCAGCACAAAAGGATACCCGGAGATTGTAACAATGGCAACCCCCTGATATTATTCATTGCAGCAAGCCCTGCAACAATTACAAGCGTTCCCTGGATTGAAGTGCAAAGTGAATAAATATTAACCATTTTTGATTGATGCGCCAACTTCCCGCCCCCGTACTATTGCAAGCCAGTCACCTGGGGTGGCAACACGCACAATCGCGCCACTTCCGGGCACCACAAGGTAGCAAGAAAAGTTGGTCCGACGCTGGGGGTGGGGTTGCCGCCGTCAAACATCACTTGGTAGTAGTTCAGGTCGGCCACATCCAGACTCAGCCGGCGCAAGTAGGCGTTGACGAATACCTGAGGCCGCTGTGGCAATAGATGTGTGTGATGGGGCTTTGCCTTTGCACATGTTAACACCCTGCAGAACATCCAACGGCAAAGACAGCTCATGTTCTCCGGCCCATGATGAAACAAGAAATTCAGCAAACAATGTGTACCATTCACAGGGTAAAGACTACTGATTCTTGGCGTGAAACGGAAAGTGGCCGCCCAGGGGTGACCGTCAACCCAACATGGGTACAAGCCTCTTCCACAGTGTTGCACTTCCCCGACTGCAGGGAATCGAACAACCTGTGGAAAACAGCTCCATCGATTCTGCTCTTGAAACGCCGGTCTTCGAGTTCCGGCGTTGTGTGTGCGTAGGCATGAGCATACCTTGTCAGTAGGGCCGCGCACTGGCTTGCAATTCTGAAAGCCATGTCCTTCAAGGATTTGCTGCGCTGCGCGAGCATGGCGGACACGAGGCAGCCGATGAAGGGCGCGTCCTGAGCACAGTGGGGCTGGTGGAGAGCGATTGCGGGCTGCTCACCAATTTTGGTAGGGTTTTTCGGGGACCTTGAACGAACAAACAGTAACGTGTTTCAAGGACGATCACACACTGTCAGCCGGTGTCTCAAACGGTGAGGGACACTGCTATCAGATGGCTCCCACAACTAAGCAGAGATCAGATCTTTCCCAAAGGCGATGAGCAGGGCCATCGTGGGGGATGGACTGCACATTCTCCAACTCATTGAGCACTGGTTCAAGAAAGCCGCGCTTCAGCGCCGCTGGAATCTCCACGCGTCCTGCTCGAGCTTCAAGCTGCACCTGCACGTCAGCTCATAACACCAGTGCAGTGTGTTAATTCAAAGACTTGCTCAAATTCTAAGTTCAAAAGAGAGGTTCAACATGATTCAACCTTGCCTGTGCGTTGAGCCTGATCTGTAGGGACTCTACCGAGCAGAGCTGGAGCAACCAGCTGGCTAGCACGTTTTTTGCCCTCAGCAGCGCAGAAAAAAGAAGGCTGAGTTCGAACTCTCATTGATGCAGGTTTACACCCAAGCACTGTGAACTTCCAACAGCGGGGCAAACAACAGCACCCACGGTTTAAGAGGTTCTGCAATTGTGTCAGCTGTTAGATTTTTGCGCTGAGCAGCTGTTGCCTGCTCGACCCCGATTGCACCCAGTGAGCCAGAATCACCATCAGGGAGTTGCTCGTGGAAACCACATCGAGAATGACCGTGTCCAGCACGCTGTTCTCAACCACTGCTGGGTTGTAGCGCGGGAGGCGGTTTCGTGATTTTCCACAAACCTAGGATGAAACCCGGTTTGAAGTGCGGCTTCCAAAGGATGGGAGAGTGCACATCCAAAATCATGGAAATCGACCAGCCTTAAAGGTGTGGATCCCCTTACCCGTGTGCCTAACTCAAGTGCAATCGAAACACGGCCGGCGGAGGGAACTGAAGCCCGGGAAACATGTCAGCCCACACCTTCCGAAGGCTCGTGTCCGACTTGTCAAGGGTAGGCATGACTTGCCGGGTGGTGTCGGGGTACACGGCGTCGAAAAACATCTTGCATGGCCACAACAGCTCCCCTCCGGCAACCTGAAACGCCTTCACTGCAGGAAGGCAGCCCTGTGACTGCACATATAGCACTTGTGCCATGGCTACTCATGGCTAACCCTTGTTCGGAAGCCGAAATGCTAACTGAGTTCACATCAAACCAACGCATCAAACTACGCAGTCCATCCATTTGCACCATACCTTGCGAGCATCATTCTCAAACATGCCCAAAAAAAAGCCCAAAATATGCTAAAAACACGTATTTTTGGGGTATGCTCGAAAGGTATGGTGCTGGGATCTTAGATAAAAAGCACCTGCTATTCCTATGGGCGCGAGGCCGGGGTGCCATGCTGGCAGTGGCTGGCCAATATGACCTACCCGCAGCTCTGGAAGGCCATGTTCAAGCACTCCGACATTGCGGAGATGCCCCTGGGGCTGGAATGGGTTTGGGTTTGGATTTGGGATGTGTGGAAGTGTTTTTTGTTTGCCCCCGAAGACGTGGAAGCGTTGTTTTGTTTGTTTTGGATTTGTGGAAGTTGTTTTTTTCTGCTGCCCCCGAAAAGGACTGGGTTTACATCTACATTAGAAGCAAGACGTGAAACTCTGGTCTAGGGACTTGGGGTCTATTTACGGTTACTGAAGGTTTAGGGTTTAGCTGGCCCGAGAATTTTCATTGCGGTTGGTTTTTAGCCCCCTTTGAAAGGCGACCAAACGGAGGTTGTTCAAGGTGTTCCAATCATTTGGCCTAACCCTCTGCTGTGAATCGTTGCGGTTTCCTCGAGCCACAAGGACTCCGGATTGCTCCAAGCCTTCGGGGAAAGCAGGGGAGAGGATCCCTTCGAATTCGCAGACATGCGTGGAGTTTTGAGCACACCGCAAGGGTTCTTCCTTTCTTCCCGGGCGGGTTTCGTTACCGAGTGAACAATGCCATGGCTTGTTTGGGGTGGTACAAACCACTGTCTTAGCACGAGGAAATGCTTAGGGCTTCGGAGAACGGGCTCCCAGACCGGGAACCAGTCCTCGTTTTTGCTTTTGCCCCACGGCAAGCAAAGGTTCCAAAGGATTGACGCAGCGATTGTGTTCGGTTGGGTTGTTGCACGTACGCGTTGTGGTACATGTTTGGTTGGGTTGGTTATGTTTCAGGGTTCCTGGAAAGCAGTGGTTGTTCCAACCTCTTCTGAGGCACTAGGCATCCGTTACTCTCCCGTGCGTGAAGAAGTCGTGATTGGGAAGGGCTTCCAATGATACTGCCGTTTCGCTTCTGTCACCTTAATGTATCTTGAATCTTGGAGAAGTCGTTGGGGTCCAAAGCGAAGTGATTCACAGACTACCTTCTTGAACATAACCCTTTCCTCCCCCAGTGATGCCGTCGATTCCGTTGTTTGGAGGCATGGGGTTCTTCACACCGAGGCGGCTAGAATCAGAGAAGCACACTTAAACTTATATTAGCTTTGGATTGATCCGAAGGGCCAAATTTCAACCCGAGACATCGCCCTAAAATGACTTTTTTCGGGGAGGAACCCTCTTGAGTATGTCTTTTTTGATTCCAGAATCTGACGTTGACGCTGCTGTTCGACCTCGAGATGTGGGGGCAGCATGTGTCGCTTGGATTTCCATGCGGCAAGTTGGGTCGGGTACACGATTCAGAGCCGAGCCCAAGAGTCACAAAGTTCTTGATGAACCCCAATAGTCACTTACGCTTATGGTCACTTGTGGTCACTGAAGGTCACGTAAGGTCACGTAAGGTCACTTATGGTCACTTATGGTCACTTATGGTCACTTATGGTCACTTATGGTCACTTACAGTGACTCGTAGTCATTTGTAGTCTCTCTTTGGCTGCAATGTCTCGAGAATTAGCATATGTTTCCGTCCCCCATGCATTATTTTCAGAGATCCTTCTGCAAAATTGCTTCAAACACATCAGAAGAAATGCTCCCCAACGCGAGTCGGCTCATCAGATGGGAGCTTACCCTCCCACCAATTAACGCGGAACCTGACAGGGGGGGTCCTGGAAGACCATTCTTCTTTTGAAGGGACTCCCTCTCAGGTTCCATGTTACCCTGGTGGGAGCTTGGCATCAAGCAAGGCTGTGCAAGCGCATCTCCCACGAGCTGCTCTACGAGCAAGCCTGCCTGGGCGGGCGCTTCACTTCCATCGCGCAGTTGGAGACAGCCGTGCGAAGGGTATATCCTGCCATACAGGACCAGCCCAGTTGCCCAAGCCAACGAATGCAGGGGCGCACGGAACCCCCTTGCAGGTTTTTTAGTGGCCTTTGAGTCTCCACCCGGGGTGGGGGGGGGGGGTGCAGAAAAGTCCCACCTAAATCTAACATGTGTAGCTTCTTGGTGCTTCTTGTTGGCTTCCTTTTGGAACAAGCCCCAAAACGTGCCAGCCAACATTTGACATGTCTAGTTTCTTTTGGATTTCCCTGCACCCTCCAGATGCACCCCCCAACTGTGTTGCATCACGCTTCCTACTGATCTCGAAACCTGGGCCCAACAATTGGCCGATGCAAACCATCGCCCCTTTGTGTACCCTCGTGCCGCTTGTGCCATGCCAGAGCTGGCACTTTGTTTTGACCACCAATCGCAGGGCAAATCATTTATCAAGTCATCCTCGGCCCTGAGAACCCTCGCTTCTGCCAAAACCAAATTGGGGGCAATTCCTCTTTTGCTTCGTAGGGAAACCAAAAGAAAACCAAACTAGGGGGCCATGTTGACAACCAAAAGGAATCAACCCAAGACATGCTTATTGCCAAATATGTTACGCCAGAAGTCCAGCCCCTTTACTTTAAAGGGAAACCAAAAGGAGGTTGCTGAAACTATGTGGGTATGTCTCAAAATAGGGGGACCCAAAAATGGATCTCGCAGGATCCCTGGAACAAAGGGTAGTTGCCCGCAAACACGCACCCGCAGGGAAAAAACACCAGGAGGGAGTGGGGGGGGGGGGTGTCAGAAGACCAAGCCTGTTCTGCATGGCTGTGGGAAATGACCACTTCTGTGATGCAACAAAAAGGGCGTCCCAAAGACTAATCCCCAAAGGGGCATTCCCTTGTATTACAGAAGTGGTTGGATAAACCCCGAGTGATCCCACAACCCTGGCTCAGATGCCCAGTGGCCATGGCAAAAAAAAGGCATCCTTTTTTGGTTGGTTGAGTTTAAAGGGGTAGCCCTGACCCCATTTCAATTCCCCTATATTTTGAAGTTGGCTTACCCCACCTCTTCTCTTCAACTTACCCTCTTTTGTAACCTTTTGTTGGCTTACCCCCTTCAACTTAGCCTCTTTTCAACTTCAGCTTCTCTTTTTCTGCCAAGATCCCGACCCCCTTCAGGGTTCCCCTTTGACCAGGATCTCACGACGAGCAGCAGACAGGTGGGGCCCAAGCGGGTTCTGGGTGCTCTGCGGCGCATGGTGAACCGGGAGATGGAGGACGGCTCCCGTCACCGCAAGTTCCCTTTGCTTCTTCAAGTATGACCAATCGTAGATCAAAGAGAAGCGTCCAAAATTAACTCTGTGTAAATCTGAGATGACATATGGTGTTGCAGAAAGTCTCAAGCAATGTGACAGAGAACTGACCCACGCGAATGACTAAAGAGAAAGGACGTACATTGAAAGTCAAATAGCTTTTGTAGGTTACCTCTTTGAAGGCTTCTCTTGCCGCCTTCTCAATCATGGAAGGTTTATCATGATTCTAAACCTTTTAAACCATATTATCGCGGGCTGTTCTGATGCCCCTGATAAGCCCAATCTTGACCTTCGATCTGTGTTTCGGTTGTTTTGCTGCACTTGGAGATTATTCTTTGAAGTAAGGTGAAGGACAACCAAGAAGGTCATTCTGATAACACGGACTTGAGGGCGGGGCCGAGATTCGAGTAAGCTCATCTTGCCTTGCCAGCTAAGAGGAAGGTTCTCTGGACCCCCTGACAGGAGCTGCAGGAGGCCTTGAGCCAAGCCTTCCAAGTGCTGCGTGTAGGGGGGAGGTGCCTCATGGTGTGCCAGAACAAGCTGGAGGCGTCGCTCGGCCGAAGGCGCGAAGTTGCCCAGGTGGTGGGTGGTGTGTTGGGTTCATGTGGGCAGCCGGTGTGGGTCAAGGGACCGCAGGAGATTGCGTCTGGCCATTTGCCAGGCCAAGCCATTTTGGGGTGACCATTCCTCCCCAAACATGGCAAATGTGTGAGGGCACCCGGAGGTTTGATTTTCCTCTTGGGGGCACCCCGTGTCAGTTGCCATGTTGGGAGGCAGGGTACCGATTTTTCACCCACAACACAGAAGCAGATTCACAGAAGCAAAAGGGGGGGGGGTTGGGCGCCAGCAAACAATGTACGGCCAAGCCAAACATCCAGAGGAACGCACTTGGAGCAGTCCCCTGGCCCCCTTCGCGCCCAAAGCCTCTTCCTGGGCCTTAACCAACCCAAACCCTCCCCGAAAACCCGCCAACCCTCAACCCACCCTAAACCCACCCCGACTCCAAGTCTGTGACGCCACTTCAATCTCTCTCTCTCTCTGTCTGTGTCTCTCTCGCTCTCTCTCTCTCTCTATCTCTCTCTCTCTCTCTGTTTGTCTCTCTCTCTCTCTCTCTCTGCCTCTCTCTCTCTCTGTCTCTCTGTCTCTCTGTGTCTGTCTCTCTGTGTCTCTCTCTCTCTCTCATATTCAGCATCGCGGAAGCCTCCCAAGAAGGCAAAGGTGGTGAGCGCAGAGGAGGGAGGGTGTGGCAGTTGGCCCGCCCGACTCCAACGTGGGAGTGTGGCCCTTCGTTGCGGAAGTGGAGGGCCAGCGGGGAGGTGCTCCAGGACGAGTTGGCGGACAGCACGCCCGGAGTTCGTCCGCGCAGGTCCAAACTGTGCCGAAGCGGCACAGACCTACGTGCACCGTTTTCTGGGTACGTCCAGTTCACACTCCTCTTTGTTGTTCGTGCTGGCAAAAAACGGTCTATGCCGCCAGGACTAGCTGTCGATGGGAGGACTTGACTCCCGACATCAAGCATTGGGAGGAGACAGATAAGGTCACCAGGACTTAGACCTTCGCGAGGGCAATCCTGCGGCCCTATGCCAATGAGCGCAAGGCGGCCGTGTACTCCTCAACGGCAAAGGCCGCGGAGGCGATTAAGAAGGAACACTTGTCCGGCGGGTCTTCGAGATTTGCTGGTCGAGATTGCCGGCGAAGCATTGCGATGGCTTTGCGCGCTATCGTGGTGAAGATCGGCGACAATGAGGACGAGGACATGGGGCCGCAGATCGACAGGCTCATGAAGCTGCTCGGCCCACAGGATGCGGTGCACACATGGGTCACGTTCTGGCGCGATGACAAGAAGATTCTGGAACAAGCCGCCATGCTGGAGGCAGCGACGATGTGCAATGCCTGGCCAACTGGGCCGAAAAGATTCCGGAAACCACCCACAACAAGGCAGCGCTCACGGCCTGGCGCGCGGATCCGAAGAACGCCGAGCTAGCTGCTGGAAGCCTTCCTGCTGGCCTCCATCTGCCGATGGGCGGGGACCTCGTGGATTGCTTGCTTGGGCTTGCAGCCCTGATCCCTCGCGTGAGCGGACCTCGCAGCTTTGTCGCCCTTTTGTGCGCACTGAGCAGGCCATGCAAAATGGTCGAAGAAGTGGAAGCAGGTCGTTGGCCAGATGGAGTGGAAGCCGACAGCGCAAAACGGTTTATGCGTGAAAACCTTGCAGGAGGACGGTGCCTGCAAATGCCAAAGCCCACGCTGGAGACTACTGGGCGTGGGAGGAGAAGCTGGCACGCATCATGTGTTCATGCGTGCAGGGATTTAGGCATGAGTGCCAGCGCCCGCATCATGCATCAGGCAAGCGTGTTTGTTGAGGAGGGCGGCAGCAAGAGGAGCAGCGCCGAAGCAGGGGCGGGGCGGCCGTGGCATTACGGAGCTGGCCAAGCCCAAGCCAAAGCAGCGGCAGCCGAACCCGCCAAAGCCGAACCCGCCAAAGCGGAGCCCCCCAAAGCCGGAGCCGCTGCCGGAGCCGGCGCATGAGCGGTGGAGCTGAAGCTCAAGGTCCAGCTTGCCAAGATGTACATGGCGCACACGGCAAACACCCTTCTTTTGTGGACTGGCTGCAACCCCTTAACCCAGCATAGACCGTTTTTCCCTCTTTTTTCCCGAAAGCATTGCTCCGGCACAGTGAAATGCGTAGCGAAATACATAGGGTAACTGCACAGGGAAAGTGCACAGAGAAAGGCGCGCGGAAAGTGCACAGAGAAAGGCAGAGCGACAATTGCACTTTTGCAGAAAGATCTGTGTTTAGTGCAACGGGGGGAAATTCCGTGCTGTTGGTAGCTTGGAAACGTGTAGGACCTTGAGCGAGGAGGTCTTTGGGCGTAGTTGCCTTTTCCTCTTTGCGGAGTTGGTTTGGAAGGGAATTCAAAAGGAAACCGCCCGTTTTGGCGGCGCCCCTATTTGGAGAGAGACACATATGAGCCACTTCTTCGAAACCAGTGGAAAACAACGAGTGTGCAAGGGCATGTTTACGTCCACTTTTTAATCTTTCTTTGTCATTTTAGTAGGTGGTTTTGTAAGGTGATAGAAAGCCCATAGCCGTCATCCAGTCCTTCCACAGGTATGTTGAGCTCTGCTTCCGAACCAGGGGGGCGCACCCAATCAAAAAGCGCATCCTCGCCATTTTGCAGGTCCCTTTGAAAGTGCTCCTTCTTTGCAGTGGTTGCAGCAAGCCCAAAACCGTGCTCTTCGAAGAAAAGGCATGCTACAAAGCAGGGGTTCTGGGCAAACCGAGGAAGAGTTTCCGAGGTGCTCTTTGGAGTTCCCCAAGTCAGATTTATTCCCCCCTCCACAACACACACTCATGAGAGGTTTCTTTTTCGCGTCCCTTCCCGTTTTGAGCCCTGCTGGGCGGCGTCGATTTCGGGCGCAAGCGAATCTCGAGCGAATGAGCCAAGGACCATCGCCATCAACTTCGCCCGCGACCACGAGGAGCCCAGGCCGGAGGCGAATTTGAAGATGGACGTCCGGCGGCTGCGTAACCTCTACCCGCTCGCAGGCGGAAAGGGGGGAGGGAAAAACAAAATGGGTGTGGTTGTTTTGCAGAGTACCCCCTTTTGGTTGTTGTTCAAGGACAACCAAAAAGGAGGGGGGTGCCAACAAGGGCCCAACAAGGGACGACGGACTCCCTCAAAACCCTGAGGCCTTGGTGTGAAAATGAGGAAGTGGAGCCCTTAGTTTCGTTCTGGTTCCCTTGAAACACCCAACAAGAGGACTCCCCCACAAAGCAGATCCATCTTTGAAAATTAAGTGAGCATACCCTGAAATCCTCCCTTGGACACGTGAGGCAAAGATACTCAGAGTCAATGTTTATTCGTGCTCTCGATTTCGGAGCTTTTGGCTTGGATTTTCTTCGCATTTTGAGTTGGTTTGTGCTTCGTGACGGTTCCCGGCACGCTGCATTGATCTCTCGCGGGATCAGCCAACCGCTAAGGTTATGACTTGCAGTGGTAAGGAACTGCAATTGGCCCCAGACCGCCTGGCTTTTGGATCTGCCTGGGCTCCGGACGGACGGCTGAGCCATGTATTATCCTCTCAAATGGCCCTCAAAGGGTGTCCTGCAAGAAGAAGTTCACCTTCATGGTGCCCTCCTGCTGTCATGATAGTGGTAGGAAGTCCAGACTCGCAATGTAAGAAGCTGAAATTGAGATATGCCGAGAGGGACATTCAACACATCATGGCTTCGGAGGGACATTGTTGTATATACTTTACCGCGGTGTCCTGAACATTCTTGTATTGCACGTCATGCATCAGAACCAGAGATGCCACATGTTTGCTGCCATGGTGACTCCCTTTGACAACACACACACAGCCAAGTTGAGAGGACAGAAGCAAGAGCTTCCAGCAACCTGCACCAGGGTGGAACAATTCCCCAATCGAGCCCCAATGACCAAAATGGCCGTTGTAGTCGGTGGTTGGGCCAGTTAGGCCTGTATAAACATCTATAGCCGTCGAAGTAGAACCCAAAGTCATTGGGTTTTGGTCTCTGCTCATTTTTTGAGGGCACACCCCCTCCCCCACCCGCCATTTTGTTCGGAGGTTTTCCGGCAAGGACAAGTGACGCCCTTATTCGCGGGTACGATTCCAAAAAAGCTACACCCACTTGGCTCGACTCTTTGATCTAGAAAACGGTTTGTCGTGGATTTCACACGTGTTTCCCCCTTTTGATTCTTTTTCTAGTGATTTGTTCAGTCCTCTTTGAATCTCCCGCGGGGGCGGATCCACAGATTCGCCACCTCCAGACCGTTTTTCTAGCCATCGACAGGCACGGAGCTCCCCTACGCCGTGAAGCTCCTCGACTGCGCGCGGCTCTCGCGCTTCGAGCTGCCGCTTGGACGGGGCAGCGGTTGGGCCGATGGTTCGAGGTGTCTGTTTTGGAGTAGGTCTGGGATTCCCTAGTGTCTCTTTTGGGTTTCCTCTAAGGCCACAAAAAAAGGCAACTCCTAACAACACACACCAACTCCAAAAGGGGTTCCAAAAAAGGTGTTTTTCACAATCAAAGCCAAAAGGGGCACCCAAAAAAAGGTACAGTTTTGAAGACAGGCGCAAACAAGTTTGGTCCCAAAAGGTGGGGTACCAAAGTTTAAAAAGGGGGTCCCCAACTCCAAGAAAGGGGATGGGTTTCCCTTAACAAATGCCAAAAAAGGGAGGTCCCCAACTCCAAGAAGGCAGAAATGGTTGGACCTGGCTCTTCCATAGCCAGTGCTTTTCCCAGGTTTTTCCCAAAGGAGGTGCCCAACTCCAAGAAAGGATAGAAACGACCAACAGGAGGCGGCCAACTCCAAGAAGAACACATGGCCTGGGGTTTGAACGTGCCCCCGAAACGGAGCCGGCCTGTTGGACCTGCCTCCCCGAAACGAAAGCCGAGGACCCAGAACCCGGACGCCACCCCCGGGGCTCAGCTCCTAGTCCTGGAGAAGGTGCCCAGGACGGGAGCGCAACGGAGACGGCGGGCGGATGGCACGGGGGAAGAAACCGGCCATCCAGGGCACTCCAGGAAGAAGTTGCGAAAGAAACGTGGTATTTTTGTTGAGACCGGGTGTTGGTGGGATGTGATTTTAACATGAAAATGCTACAACACACTGTGTTTTACGGTGTTTTCTGGCAAAGTAGGGCTGACAACTAGGTAAAACATGTTTTTTCATGCGCATATCATTCTTCTGGAGTATGCACCACCTCTAAGCCACTCACTTCTGGAGTACAGACCACAAAACTCCTATAGCAATAGGACGAACCCAAGTAATCTAAGCAGGTCACCTGCCCCACGCATATGGCTTGGACTTTCGCTTTGCCCTCAGATCAGCCTTGTACTTGTTCCCCTAGTATGTTCCTAACATTCACAATACTTCCCTAGTATTCCCTAATATTCCCCAAGTATTCTCTATTCCTCTAGCATTCTCTTACCCCTAGTAGTCGTACGCTCAGAGTATTCCCCCAGTATTGCCCTAGTATTCCTTAGTATTTTCTTGGAATACCCCTAGCATTCCCCCAATATTCCCCCAGTAACCCCAGCAGGCCCAGCATTCCTTAGTATTTTCTTTGTTTATTTGTAGTATTCTTTCCCAGTATTCCCCTAGTATTCTTCTAGCATTTCCTCTTGTTGTTCCCTGGTGCCTGGTATTCCCTTATTATCCCCTTGGTGTTTCCCTAGTTCTTTGCTACTCAGAAACTGGAGCGCAAATGCAGGAGACTAGGGGAAGTACAAAGGGCAATGCTGGAGAATACTAGGGGAGTATTTGGAGAAGACCAGGGGCACACCAAGAAAATACTAAGGAATACAGAACAACATTAGGGGAATACTAGGGGAATACAACTCTAGGGGTCAGAGAAATAGGGCATATTAGGGGAATACTAGGGGAATACAACTCCAAGGGTAAGAGAATTCTGGCTTCCTCAAAGGACAGGGCAGCATCTCATTCACCGAGTTGGCGCCGAAAACTTTCTACAAAGCCCACACTTGCCATAACTACGCGAGTTGATGTTGAGGCCAAGGAGTGTGAATTCAACACTGCGGAGCGGACAAGTTGTTTTCACATCCACATGTGAGACTGGAGCTAGGGAGCCCTTAACACACAAAGCAAAGGAAGCCAAGAGAAACGACAGAAAACCAAAAAACAACTCGAGAAAACCAAAAAGCACAAAAAACAAGAGAGCCAATTTTCAGACACTCTTTGGAGACGACCCCTGGCGGAAGACTTCCCAGATATTGGTTTCTGTTTTTTTTGGGTTTTCTCGAGTTTTTTTTTGTTTTTTGACCAGATGGCAGAAGACTTCCCAGATTTTTTTTGTTTTCTCGAGTTTTTGAGTTTTTTTGACCAGATGGATGCTCAGATGCAGACACCAGATGCCTTGCACAAGCAAAAGCGTGCGTTTCGCCTAGATGCCAGCACCGCCACATGCAGGAAACCATGGTATTCGCAGTGTTTTCTGAGCTTTGCAGCGCTAACACTACATCCCAGGGAGCACCCCTTCTGTTTTTGTTGCGGGTATTTGGCGAATTTGTTGGAGAAGTTCCTGGAGATGGTTTCTTAGAAGGTTAGAAGTGGCTGGTTTATGGACAATAACATTGGTTGATCAACCAGTTTCGGATTTGCTCACATACAGCAATTCGCATTCATCGTTTTGTTTGAAGAACACATTGTCTTCAGTTGTTTTCCTCCTTTTGCTTAATGCAAGCCAGGAGCTTTTGCGTACTTTTTCGGCTTGTTTACTTGATGCTCACGTCTTTTTTTCTGGTTTTTCAAAGGTTTTTGTTTGAGTCCGGTTTGAGGCTTGCCACTGGAAGGAATGCAGTGCTTCACGCTCCAAGAAAGATTTGGACTGCCCCGAATCTGGGCCTCCTGCTTTGATGGAATCTATGGGTCGAAGTCCTTGCTTTTCCTCCCATCACTTAGACGCGCGCTAGTTTTTCATCGGCACGTGGTGTGCTTGGGCTGGTGAGCAACCACCACGTTTTTGCTTCTCGTTACTGAGAATGAATCCTCACCTCCCGAGTTGCTGGACGTTTAGACTTTTTGGGGCTTTTTAGTGGTACTGGTAAACAAACAGTTTAGACTAAGACAAACTCGCATACCAGCATCGACACTCTCTTTCCGACAATGGAAGTGAAGCGGATGCTGGCTTTTCAAGAGGACTGGAACTTGCAAACCCTTCTGTCAGCTTCGATTGTGGGGAGATACAAACCAGGACCACCATCCTTCAAACAGGTCCCGCGTTTGAGTCTGGCCCTTTTGAAGCCGCGAGGACGATCCTGCCAATGCCGCGGGCGAGAGGAAAAGGGAAGACGAGCATCGCGCGTTCCGGTGGAGAGTTTCTCAAGATGGTGGATCCCCTTTTTCCTGAAAAAGGGGTTCTTTTGTGGCGGCTTGCCTTTGGTTTCCCTTAACCTACCCAAAAAGGGTACCCTTCGCCTCAAGAAAAGGAACCCTTCGCCCCAAGTGGGTCTCTTACTTGGATGGTACCCTTCTTGGGGTGAACAGGACACCAAGAGGAAGGCTACCATTTTGGGGGGACCCCCCTTTGGAGAAACACCCGGTGGGGAGATTGTCGCGCCTTCCGTGTAGGGGTTGATTTTCTACAAAGGATCCCTGCATCCTCGATTGAAGACGATCGCCCCTATCCGGAAGGGAAAGAACGAGGGATTCCGAGGGTTTCGGAGGGTCCCCCTGCTTGACTCGGGGATTCCTGAATTCGGAATGGTGAGAGATTTTGCCTAGTGCAGATCTCCGGGTGTCATGTCTTGAGGCTGATGTTTTCGGGGGGTTTAGAGGGAAACCAACACTTTGGTGCATTTTGCTTGCTTGGATGTTAGGACTTGAGAACTTTTTGCCAATGGGTTTTCCGTCTTAAACCACTAAAAGCTATTCACTTTTAGCCGGGCTTCGCGGATTTCGGCCACGGAGCGATCCCTTTTCTTTGAGTCCTTTGGGCCCCCGATGGAAGAAGCATCGAACGGCTCAACAGGTGGCGTCTGTGAGTCGAAAGGGTTTGAACAAAAGCCGTGCCCATTTTGTGGGGGAAACCCAAAGTCGGGGAGGGGCCGAAATTTGAGGTCCTTTGGTAAATCCCGTGGCTTTTGGAGTGACCGAGTTTTCCAAAAGAATGGGCATTGGCTGGTGGTGTTTTCCCCGCTGAAAGTGCTGCCTGGTCCAAGCCCCAAGTTTCCGGAGCGGTGAAGAAGTTGGTACCAACTCATGGTTCCAGTTTTGGGGGGATTTTCTGAATGGGTTGCTCCAAAGCTTCATGACATCTCTATGCTTTTACACATTAATGCCAGGGCAGTGATCGAGATTTATATAGGGCCACTCATGAAGAACGATCAAACCACAAGGGCACAAAAAATGGACTCTGTCCTGTGGCTGGGCCGTTTTCGACCCAAGTCGATCGAAATGGATATAGGTTTGGTGGAATAGGAGCACCCCTGAACCAACCGAAGGGGTCAATACCCAGAAGATCGTTGCCAACAAAAAGAAGACACCGCCAGCGTCCACCGTTGATATATATTTATATTTATACATACATAAATATATATGCACAGCGCCCCAGAGTGGGGTGTGCATGTTCCGCTTCACATTACTTGTGACATTGTGGGTGGGGAAGCTGACCCTCGGGGAGTTCTGAGACGGAGAGATGAAGGCGAGAGCCCGACCGAAGCGACCGAAGCGGTCATAAAGGAAGTACACCCAGGTGGTGTTGTCTGAAACATCCAGTCTGTGGTGGGACTGGGACTCTCTCCCCAAAAAAAGAAGAAGAACACTCTCGCTCGCTGGCATGCGGTGGGACTCTGGCAACCACAAATATCCTCCCCCCGAAGAAAAAGACAAACAAACCAAAAGAAAAGAAACAAACCACGAGGCCCTTTGGGAAACCCGGGCGGCCCGCACGCTCGCTCGCCTGTGGATTCGCGGATTTGGTTTGAGGTGGTGGCGGTGCTGGACCTGGGTCTCCACCGGCGCATGGACCACGACAGCTCCAAAGGCATCTCCTCCCTCGCCACCAAGTGGCCGGGGCCCCAGGTGGGTCCGGGCGGGGCCCTACGGCGTCGGGGTGTGGCGGGGGCCCGGGTGGTGTCGGGGTGTCGGGGCGGTGTTGGCCCTGTTCCCCCAAAACGCGCCAAGCAGAGCTGTGGCTCTGGGCTTCGGGCTTTGGGCTTCGGGCTTTGGGCCATTTTTTTTGGATTTTGGGGGGAGGAGGGGAGGGCTGGAGGGCAGGGTTTGGCGGAAGGGGTGGGGGGGTTGACGTGGTTCCTTGCTCTCTTTTGAAAAAGGGAATGGTTGGCTGATCAGGATGGGCGTCTTTTAGCCTTTTGGGTTGGGACATCCAAAGATGGAAGCACCAAACTCCACAGACAGGGGGTTGCTGGTTGGGGCATGCAACTTGGCCTGGCTATCCCAACTTGCAGTGACGGACCTAGTGGCTGGAGTGGCCTTGTTGGGAAGGCGTCTCTCCTTTGTGGGAGAGACACGAGCCCTGACTTCCCCCCCCCCTCTTTGGTTTTCCGGGGGCTTTTTTTTGATTGGATTGATGCTCCCTTGTTCCATCAGCTCAAATGTTCAACTCTTCACTTGATTGCGCACGCGTCAACTCCTATACCACACCAAACATGCAAGTTGCAGGTTCGGCCAGACCTCTTGCAAGAATGAGACCTAGGTCCCCCAGTACTGCCCTTTCACCCTTTTTTTGGGGGAGGGTTCCCCTACTAAAAGAGGACTACCGAAAAAGAGTCGGTTGCCCTTATTCTAACCTCTCTACTGGAGGACCTAGAGACCTTTCTCCTTTTGCGGGGGAAACATTTGCCCTCACGACGATGCCTCTCTTGCAGGATCAGCAAAGCCGCCGCCACACAGAGGAAGGGGCGCGGAGGCTCAATGCGAGGTGAGGGGCGTCGTTCGTTTCAGGTGGGTGTGGTTCAAAATTAACCACCAGGGACCGCAGGTTTTAGTCCTTGTTTCCATTCACCAAGGTTCCATTTTGGGCACCGATTTTTGACCCACAGCCAGATGGTAGTGGATTCTGATGGGGAATTTCCTCAACCTAAATCCCAACCGAGATGCTGTGTCCACTTTTTGGGTCCCCTAGCTAAAGTTTACAGCCAGGTGAGCCGATTTCAAACACCTGGGTAAGTGAAGGTTAGTAAGGGACAATTCAACCAAAAAAAAATGTTGGTCCCATATGAATCAACCCCCAGTTTGTTAGTAGGGGGGTGGGGGCCCCTCCAAAAAGGGTCTGATAAAAATAGGGAGAAGCACCCCCCCTAGAAAATATACAGGGGTTGATGAGTATATGGTTGTATGGTACCCCTCCCCCCCATATTCCATCAGCCCGTGGTAACACCAGGTTTTGGGTTATGACCCAGAGCCTGCAACCGCACCCAGGCGCGCCGGGCGCACGCAGCCGGGCTTATGCCTGCGGCTCTACACCAAGCAGCCGCTCGGCTCAGCAGCCTTCGGTTCAGGGCCTATTTCCCAATCACGCATCCTGTTGGACAAGAACTCGGTGGGTGAAACGTAGACACCCAAAATGGAACCTCGTACAGGGAGACAAGGGCTAAGAACCTGCGTTCCCTTGGTGGCCATACCCATTTGAGCCACAGTCAAAACCCGGGGATGAAGGTTAGTAAGGGACAATCCCAACCGTAAATAGCTGCGGATATCCGCCTGCTTAATTCTTGAAGCATGGTTCTGGGTAGACCATTTTAGTACCGGGTTTTGATTATGACTCATCTGGTTGGTTTGTTGCTCTTCCTGGGGGTCAGTGCAGCCCGAAATATCAGTTGGACGCCCAACATTCGACCTTCCGGTTTCTGTTTGGCTGCTCTTTTGCTTCCGAAGGGGTACTGTTGCGTCCCAACAAATTGCGAGTAGGGAACCAGGAAACCGTTGAACCCCTTTTCTGAACGCTTGGATGCTACAGTTACCCAGTCAACCCCTACAAACGGTTGCAACGAGGTTGCTAGACATGCAGCCCCCTGCCTATTTTATTTTTCAAAACAAGACCGTAGATCTTGGGAGGAAACCACCGGGGGTTGTGGGGGAGTCTCCATGGGAAGTCACCAGGTACTTCGAGAAGATCATGCCTGACTACGAGCCTCCGGAGTCCACGCACGCCGGACCCGCTTACCATGCCGGATCTCGTTCTGGATCCAGACGTAAATCACAGGGCGCTTTGGTAGCTTCAGCTGGAGGCCCCTGAGTGGGTCAAGGGTGGAGCTTTTCTGCTGCGTCGCCCTTGGAGCTTTTGACTTGGGTTCCTTTGAACCTTGAAATCTGGGTTTTTGAAGTGTATGCGTTGAGTCAACGCCACAACCTGACACGGAAGGGGCACGTAGCACTTTGGATGTCTTGCTCCGGCCGGCAGGCCGTGACATTTTGCTTTGCCCGGAGTGCAGCTGGTCCCAGACCCGCTCCAGCCTTTCAAATGTCAGTTCCCGGCCACTGGCTCCCTTCAACATGTTCTCGCTGCCCTGCGGAGTCGTCGCGCGAGAAATCGAGCGCATGGATCTTGGCATGCCTCTTGTTGGTCTGACGGGGTAACGACAATGCCCTTTACAGGGATGGGCATCCATCACTTTGGTCTGGGAGGGGTCAATGTCGTAATCAACCCGTTGGATTCGGGTGTGTTTCCCCAATCCAATGATCCCCAGGGAGGTTCTGATTCCCTTTTGGTCTAAGAGACCGCCTTTGCAGGTAGGCATTGCGTCTCATGGCAGTGAGAGAGTCTGAGAGTGAGTGAGTGACCGCCGCCAGGTCGATGTCTCTAGATCGTCTCTATTTACAGGCGGGTTTTCCAATGGGCAAGGAATCAGCTGGTTGATTTTGATGTGTCCCATTTGAGATCCGGACGTATCACTCACTTGGGGTTCATTCAGATGGGGTTCACTCACTTCCTGGGGTTTGAAACACACCCAAAGCAAGTCCAGGGTTATTAATCCGGGGTCGACGTTTGACAGGTTGAAGCACCTTCTGTTGAAACACCTTTTGTTGAAACACCTTGTGTCGTGACGGGGGCCGAGTGTCGACCCTGGTTCAACCACATGTTGCAGCCAACCCTGCTCGATCAACACTGTTCATCGACAGTAACATTTAGGGGTTTGGATTTGGGAGTCGGACTGGGACTGTCCAAAGGGAACTGAGCAGGAAAGTCACGAACTGGTGGGAGTCCGCCAAAAATTGTCAGGGCTTGTTGGGAGTACTCTTGACTCGTGTTCTCACTTTGGGTGGTTAAAGGGAAAATGATGGAGCATTCCAGGGGTCACTTCCCCCATTCTGCCACTGCCGACGAGAACCGCGGAGGTCGCCCCTCTCCGCGGGTGTGTCTTTTTTGGGAATCGGAGCCCCCCAAAACGAGGGTGAAACCTGGTTGTTTCCCTTCAGAACCAACGCACGGGGTACTAGGCACCCGCTGGTGGGAAGAGAGCCGGAAGAGCTGAGCTACCGGGAGTTCTGTAAGCAGATGAGGATGGACACGCTCCTGCACCACTTGGACACCACGAGAAACCAGCTGTTGGCCCGAAGGAAGCCTCTTACAGAGCTTGGGTGCGTGCTTTTTGGGACCTTTGATCCACTCGAGTTTTTCTGGGATCTGTGGTTTGGTATTGGGAATTGTGAAGGTGCAGATTTCGCCACCAGCCACAAGAGGGGACCTCTGTTTGGACTTCCTCTTGGCATCGAACCCTTCAGACCCAAGCCGAAAGTTTTGGTACCCCAGCCAGTCTATGCACTTCGAAGGGGGGGGGGGTACCTTCAGAACCAGCCCACAATTTGGTACCCCAGCCGGTCTATGCACTTCGAAGGGGGGTACCGGGTACCAACTCCAAAAGCGACGCCACGACCGACGCCGACCGCAAAACGGCGAAAACGGCGCGGGAGGCGAAGCAGCTCTCCCAGCAGCTCTGCGGGGCGCTGCAGGGCGAGGGGGTGCGCGGAGCCCCAATCGAGCGCCGCGTTTGAGCGGGCTGAAGGCGTGGGTGCCCCCGATGTTCTGGTTTGGAGTCGCTAAACTTTTTCTTTTTTTTGACGGGGTTCGGTTTGGGTTGAAAGGGAAAGCGTTTTTTTTCTTCTTCTTCTTCTTCTTCTTCTTCTGTCTGTGGTGGTTTGGAGTTCGTACTGTTTTGGAGGGTAATCGAAGGACACCAAGCCCATTTAAGCGGCCCGGTAGAGCTTCACTTCTACCTGGTTCAGGATTTAAGAGGCGAAGGATTGACCGGCAGCACTACTCCTCATTTTCAATGTCCACTTGTTGGGAATATATATATATATATATTGGTGTGGACCTTTTCTGGCCAATCCACTCAGCAAGTGAGACCCCGGTGTGATATAGATCGTCGTTGTTTTTTTCCCCCTCTAGTATGTGTGTGTGTGTGGGTACCTGGTTTAAAAGGGAGAACACAGCCAAGGACGTATGGTTTCTGGAGGTTTTGGGGTTGTGTAATCGAGGTACTGCTTTACTGGCGGTGCATCGGCTTTCATACCTCCAACATCCGGCGGACAATGCTTTCGAAATGGTGAGGCCAGGGGCGTTGTAACCGGATTTCTCAAACGGCATGTTTTACCCCTTGCAAAGGCCACTGTACACAACCCTCTTTTCAGGGATTCCTCTTTTAAAGTGCTCCAACCGTTCTTTCTGTGGGGAGATCAAGTCGCTGCGAAACACGAGCAATATGTTTCTCTTTCAGGAGACTAGTCTACCCGTGGACATTCCCTTTAATTTAACGTGTTTTGTTTTTTCAGGGACAATTCTACCCTTTGATCCGCGTCCAACAGAGCAAGCCGAGACCACGTTGCAGCCGAGAGACGATCGATGATTCGAGGCCCCGCACGGCGGCGGAGTTGCTGATGCAGATGCCGGAGGCGGGAACGCCGCGCGGGTGGCACAGCTCAAAAACCGAAGCACCTCTCAGCTTCCATTTGCTGATTTTTATTTTCCCCTGTTGGTTTTAAAGGGAATCTATCACTACGTGATTTTTTAAAAATCTGTTTTTTTCCAGGGGTCTTAACCAAATGGAAGTTAGGGATTTTTGCGGCGCTCCCGAAGAGGGGGGGGGGGTTGTCTCGCCATTTGGCGACAAACCACATGTTCCGGCCTTAAAAAACCGACACCTGGGTAGATTATCCTGTTTTGTCTACGGTCAATGTGGGTGGAAATTTGAATTCGGGACTCACCAAATTCCCCTCCAAAGCATCGGGGCAAACACCCATCTCGGTTCCCGGCTATTTTGAAACCGACAGCTTGAGTGGCATTTGCTTGAGTTTCTGTGTGCGGTGTCCGCTGCTTGCTTATCATTACCACTACCCTGCGTGCTCTAGTCGCGACACCCTTGTACTTCGGGTAGGGCAATTTCAGGTTTTGGATTGGAGGTATGAAGGCTTGGATGCCACCAATCTAAGCTTGCAAGGCAGTATATGACCGCATTATACAAGTGGTATATAACCTCCATACATCCAAAACCCAAAACTTGGAAACCGCCCTGGACCTAGGGTGGGGGATGGTATTCATTGCCCCTACGTGTCAGTTGACCGCTAGTTCTCTCTTTATTGTGGGATACTAGTTGCTGCCAAAGGTCTTGGGTTTTGAGTGGATCTCGAATGGGGCTGTGATTCAAGCCCAATTGAAGGCGGTCTGTTTTGCTCCCGGTCGGGACGCAGGCGTGCGCCCGGAAACGTCGGCCATCGCTGGCGGTTGCGGCCCATCGCAGGCGCCGAACATGATGAAGGTGGGCTCCGCGCGCCAGAGGAACGCGGAGTTGGGCACCATCAGCGAAGCCACGGAGGCTCGAAAGCTCGAAAGAATGCAGACGGGAATGCAAGCCAATACCCCAAAGGAAGGTGGGTGCAAAATGAACAAGTGTGCACCGAACGCGGCGGGGGGGGGGAGACATTTGATGGGTTTCGGGGGGGGGGGGGTGGAGTAAACAAGCGAGAACCCATCATGTATGCCCTTTTCTTGGATGAGGAGCCAGTCAGTCGATATGGCAGCCTGCAGTCTACATTTGTTGAGCCGCTTTTTTTGAGGGTCGGGGGGGGGGGGGGGTACTTTCTGTTTTGTCAGGGATTGACATCACGCACTAGATATTGCAAATCGGAAACTCGCTTCCCTCCCACGGACAAACATGGAAACCCGCCAGAGGCTCCCTCGAAGAGGACAAGGGTCTTCCAAATGATTGCCATTAGCTAGGTTCAATGTTTCTGGGTGGCATACATCGCAAAAACCCCGGGGGGAAAAAAAAGCGCGAAGAAACTCTTCAAATCGACGCTCTGCCCACCTTTGCACCCAAGGGCTCTTTCCAGGCAGCAATCACATGGTCTCAAGCAGATTACGGGTGTCCCCCTGCGCTTGATACACTTTTGGCAGCAACACGCTAAAAGCATGTGCAGGGGTCAAAGGGCGCGTCGCTGGAAGGAATGGCCTGTTCAATATGTGCATATATCATATACGCGGGAAGCCATGCATGTTCCAGGTTGTCTTCAATGGGTGAGCTGTGCGAAATGGTCGAACCACCCCAGACAATGCGGTGACTCTCGACTTTGCGGTTTGGGCTTTTCGGAGGTTCTACAGTTTCCCTTTCGGGGTGGCCATGTTTGATTGGAGTTTCTCCCTAGTAGGCTGATCTTTATTCCGAGGTGACAGATTTGGGTTGCTCTGAGCCTCTAACACGGACCAAACCACACAAGGGTAGACAAATTGCTGTTTCTCAGCAGGGAATGGAGTGACTATGGTTTCCTTTAGGGAATCCCCAAAACCAGTTCATTCCCGCAAGACAATTGGTTTCGGTTTCCGTTGGTTTTCACCATCGTTCTACCCTTTTGCCCTGCAGGAGGCTTTTGGCTTGCGTTGATGTTTGGACAGTCTGCTTCCCTTGGCCCAATCAAAAAAAAAGAAACACCCCCCAACCCCCACCAACCCCCTCCCCCCAAAAAAGAACAACCACAACCAACCAACCAATGGCCGACCAACCAACCGACCAACCAACCAACCAACCACCCGGCCAAACAAACAAACAAACAAACAAACAAACAAACAAACAAACAAACAAACAAGCACACACACACACACACACAGCGACAAGTTTTGTGGGCTTTTTGTTGCCCTCCTTTCGCCCCTCGAGGCGGCAAAGATCACCGCCCTGGGGCATCTCTGCCTGCAGCTGCCGCTGGATTTGAAGCCGGGGGCCTTTGGCGAAAACGTTGGCCTTGGTGCCGCCGGTCTGGTGCCGGTCTGGTGGGGGGGGGGGGGGTTCCTTTGCTGGGCCCCCAGATTTCGGTGGAAACTGAGGGGGGGGGGTTTAAGGCATGGGCAGGGGTTGGGGAGAGTGGGGTTCGGTCGGGGTTTTGTGTTGCTCGGCATCCCTCTAATTGGCTAAGGGTGGGCAGTTTCCCATTTACCCTCAAGGCAAATCCAACCCATCCAAACCAATTGAGGCTTACCTAATCCAGTTTCTGTGAGCGATCAAGGAAACCTGAGAAAAGTGAAGTAGTCTTGACGGTGATGAGGCGTGCTGACTAGTTCTTCCCCCCCCGGAACTCTGAAAGAAAGTAGACTCAATTTTCCAACCTTGTCTCAAATGGAACATCGTCTTGATGGGAGGATTCGGGCAGGTTAGACTCGTGCCGGGGGGGGGGGGGTTCTAATCAGGTCCCAATGTAAGATTCCGTGCTTTTTTCATACTTGCAATATGTTGGGCATCCGCTGGAGTATTTTGCAAACTACGTCAGACATGGGGTCGTAGTTTGAAGGCTTGGACGCGGGGCAAGTGAACGATGCCAATACGAGGCAAGGGAACAAGTTGGCAAAACCCTATCATTTGCCGATCAATGTATCAGCTGAAGCTGAATTGCACTTGATACTTTTTGGGTCTGGACCGTTTTTGGTTTTCCCAAAAGGATTCTCCCCAAAAACATAGAACAGTGGACCCTGGTAGTACTCTCTTGGCACGTTTCGAGGCTTCCAATCCCAAAAAAGAAACGACAAAGGAACAGCCAGCCCCCGAAAAGAAAAAACAAGAAGGATTGGGTTTGCAGGCTTTTCCCACAAGGACCCCTCAAACGCCTCCCCCTTCCTTCCCCCCTCCCTCCCCCCTCCCTCTCCTCTCCCTCCCCCCTTCCTTCCCCCCTCCCTCCCCCCTCCCCCTCTCCCCCCCACCCACCCCCCCCTAAAGGGCTGGGGTGTTCGTCCCGAGGCTCACGCGCCTGGTGTGGCTGGGCGCCCACTTCGGCGTGGCCTCCGACGCCGTGGTGCTGGCGCCGGGGACTCGCGGCCGGGGTGGGGTCTCGATCCGGCGGGGGGCATTGGGTGGGGGGGCGTTCGCAGTGGGCGGGCGGGGGAATCGGAAGCTGGGAGTGGGGCTGGGAGAAAAAAACACCCCCAGTGATGGTTTGCAGCAGGGTGGGAGGGGGGCTGGTGGTTCAGCTTTCTTGGGCCTTGGTAAACTCTAAGGGGGGTCTTTGGGGGGTTTTTCAGTGTCCCTGGCAAAGTGGGACAGGCCGCGCAACCCTCACTTTTCAGAAGAACTGGTTTCGACTTTTGCCTTGGTCGACTCTGCACCAAGCCGACTGTTTGTTGGGAAGGTATATTGGAGCGGCATCTCTCCCCCGATTGTGCGAACACCTGGGCGAAGTGCAAGAAAATTAGCAAACTTGCTGGTTCGAGAGATGCAAAGAATGAGACATGGAATGACCCTGATAAACCATCCATTTCCTATGGTTTCCGTCAAAGGAATGCCCAGATCATTCCCTCATTCCCTGCTGAGCACCAGCAAGAAAATAGGTATGCTCAAGCGCTCCCTGGCCCGAAAGCAAACGTTTGATTTGACCTTTGCGCTTCCTCCTTTGTTCCATTTTTCGTGGCCGCGAAAGGTTGACGGTTGATTTCTGGCTCCCTTTCGGGCAACTGAGCAAGAGGCAGACATTGGACCAGAATAGGTTGAATAGAGAACCATGGTGGTTCTGTTTGTAGCAACGCCATAGGTTCTGTCCCGCGTTTGTAAGGCCTATATGAGACCGAGCACCTATTGCCGATGGGTTTCGGAAGCCGCGGCAATGAGGTGGACTGGGGGGCTTGGGAATGGTTGGTTTCGAGGGACCAGAGAAACCACTGGGTGAGCCACAGTCAAAACCCGGGGATTGATGGAGGTTAGCAAGGGGCAATCCCCACCATAAATAGCTGCGGATATCCGACTTCTTCATTCTTTAGGTGGTTCCGGGTAGACCATGATAACTATCGGGTGTTGATTATGACTCGGACGTTTCCTTCCCCAACTGTGTCCCTTGGTTCCGCAGCTTCCGCGTTCTCTGCGAGGTCCGTGCTGAGCTCCAACGACGCGTTTTCCATGCCCAGCCCGCTGTTTATGCGGGAGGCGAGCCGGGCCGAGCCGCTTCCCCGGGCTGACAGCTGATGTTTTTTATAGGCCCGTCGCTTCGCACCCAACGGGTTCGGTTTTTGCCGTCGGGTCGGATCGCCAACTCGAAGCAGCCTTGTTAGGAGTCCTACTTTGTGGACTCCCTGCGTTCCGCCACATCGGCCAGGCGGCTCTGGTGACTCGTCACGCGGGGATTCGTTGATCGACAGGGGGAAGGCTTTGGAGCCTTCAGCTGACCAAGACCTGTTATTTTTTTCAAAACCCACGCAACTCGACCGGCACCATGGATGAACCCCGACTTGAAGACTGGTTGATGACTCATACGAAATCCTGCACCACCTAAAAAAACCCTGGAATGATACGATTCCTCTGTAAATACTGGCAAGCAATGGTTTCCCCACGGTTTCAAAGTGGTGCAGGATTTTGTCCATCCACAGCGTCAATTGCTGCGGTGTGTGTGTGTGTGTGTGTGTGTGTGTGTGTGTTGTGTGTTGTGTGTTGTGTGTTGTGTGTTGTGTGTTGTGTGTTGTGTGTTGTGTGTTGTGTTGTGTGTTGTGTGTGTTGTGTGTTGTGTGTTGTGTGGTGTGTGTGCGCGTGCAGCAACGTATATGCGGTGTATGCGGGTATATATAGTATGTATGCGTGTGTATGTATGTATATGTGTGGGTATATGTATGTGTGGTATGTATGTATGTGTGGGCAGTGGTGTGGGTGTGCGTAGTGGTGCTGTGGGTGTGTGTGTGTGGTGTGTGTGTGTGTGTGTGTGTGTGTGTGTGTGTGTGTGTGTGTGTGTGTGTGTGTGTGTGTGTGTGTGTGTGTGTGTGTGTGTGTGTGTGTGTGTGTGTGTGTGTGTGTGCTTGTTTGTGTTTGTTTGTGTTTGTTTGTGTTTGTGTGTGCTTGTTTGTGTTTGTTTGTGTTTGTTTGTGTTTGTTTGTGTTTGTTTGTGTTTGTGTGTTTGCGTATTTGTGTGTTTGCGTGTTTGCGCGTTTGCGTGTTTGCGTGTTTGCGTGTTTGCGTGTTTGCGTGTTTGCGTGTTTGCGTGTTTGCGTGTTTGCGTGTTTGTGTGTTTGTGTGTTTGTGTGTTTGTGTGTTTGTGTGTTTGTGTGTTTGTGTGTTTGTGTGTTTGTGTGTTTGTGTGTTTGTGTGTTGTGTGTGTGTTTGTGTGTGTGTTTTTGTGTTTGTGTGTTTGTGTGTTTGTGTGTTTGTGTGTGTGTGTGTGTGTTTGTGTGTTTGTGTGTTTGTGTGTTTGTGTGTTTGTGTGTTTGTGTTCTTGTGTTCTTGTGCTTGTGCTTGTGTTTGTGTGTGTGGGCCCACACACACACACTGATTCCCATCAATGAAAGTTGGATTCCTTCTGTTTGGGACATCATGTGCCCTCGGGTGTCCGTGCTTTACGGAACATTGACGAGGGGTATATTCAGAGTCCAAGCTTTGGCTTTGGCACAGACACACCAAATTCTGGGGACGCGGATGTTGACCAAACATCGATGGATCCTTTCTTGACGATCGATTCCGATTCTTTTCTTGTTTGTTTGCTTGCTGGTGCTCGGTCGGGAATGACCCAGGATTAAAGGCATAGGGGATGGTTTATGGGGGTCATTCCCTCATTTCCTGCTGAGAACCAAGCAAGTTTGTGAATTGTCTCCCAGGTTTTCATATTCACACAAACCAGCTCTTGTGCAAAGGGAGGGTTGTGCAGCATGGCTTCTATGTTGGTTGCGTAGAACTCCAAGGGCGAAAACACACGCTGGCTGGTTTCCCTGAAAGACGCCCCTCTTGAGCATCTCTCAAACAAATTTCGTTGTCCCACTTTTCCAGGGAGACTACAACCCCGAAAGACCCCCTTTAGCGTTTATCAAGCCCAAAGAAAACTGAATACCCCCCCCCCCCACACTGCTGCAAACTATCACTGGTGGTGTCCCCCTCAATCCCAGCTTAATCTTTCAGCCCATCGGTGTCCGCAAAGCCGGAGGACTGCTGCATTGGTCCGTTCAAAGCAGAGCAAAATGCAATGCTCAGTTTCGTTGCAGTGTGAGGGGATTCATTTTGTAACATATGCCGAAGGGTCATGGATGCGTTCGGTTTTCAAAGCACTCCGCAACCCGGTTCTTCTGGAAGCCTGGTGTAGTTGGCTGCTCGAAGTTAACATGTGCAGGCTGCTGTTTGATGGAGGCGTGCGGAACTCAGTCGGGCGCTTCCATTGAGAGAAACCGGATACAGCCCAGGGTTGCTCGGGTGCGAGCCGTTCCCAGATTCAGATGATCGATGGAAGGGTAGGACATTGGATGATTTTCTTTGTCTCAGAGTTCCCAACCTCCGATCCAGCTGGGCTCTGCCTGCCGCGAGCCGCGAGCATGTCTCGCGGAGCCCGAGAAGCGTGCCCAAGGAACTCTCGGAGCCGCTGATGCAGAGGCAGCTCTTCCTAGAATGGCTGGCGGACTTTCACAAGAACCAGTACGTGCCGAAGCCTCAGCTTTTTTTCTTTGACCCAAAACGAAGAAAATGGACCAGATGTTTCAACATGGCAACCAAAGAGGGTTTCCCCAGGAAAAGCACACCTGTCTCCCTTCTCGCATTTTTTGAGGTTCGCTAAATTGAAAGGAGCATTCTTCGTCGGGGTTAGGATCCTTGTCGACAAGGATGGTAACCCCAATCCAATGATGGAACACACCCTCTAAATACTGGTAAGCCCTACTGGGATTGGAATTGCGGCCACATGTTTAAAGCCACCAATCCCTCCCCCTGGTTTCCTCCAGATAGGCCGAGACAAGCTTCCAGCTAGGGGCACATTTTTGGGAAGCAGGGGGAGCAAAGGTATCCGGTACCTTGTGGGGGGTGGGCCCTTGACGACCGAGAGGGCTAGGCCAAAGGTGTGGGGCTTGTATGCTTCAAGGGACACGTTTCAGAATGGCCCAGCTGTGTCTTTGTCTCCAAACGGGGGGACGCTCAAACTTGGGCAGTGAACGCCAGCCCCAAATCTGTTCCTCCCAACAACGCATCCAGCCGGGAAGGTGGGAAGGCGGTTTGCGATGTCGACCGGCCGACTTGAGGTGGGGCGACAAAGAGAAGATCCTCTGGGCCCGAAGAAAGCGACTTGGCTGCAAGTTCTTTTTAACAAAGCTCCTTAAACGATCTCCATTTTGCAACCATTTGAAACATGTTGCTTTTTCAACACCAAAACAAAGGGAAACCACCATTTGCAAGTTGCAATGTTCAGGTGTATAATGTAAGGATCCCTGTTTAACCAAATTGGCTCCCTCCACCATTTACTTTATAGAGGACCCCTAAAACAATAGAGGACCCCTAAAACAGTCATAGGATCCTGAATTAGAACCACACTATTCTACAATAGGGGGTACGATTCCTAAAGGAGGTCTAACATTAACCGGGATCCCATTGACCAGTAAAGTAAGTTGATCAGCGTTTGATTTGGGAGAACTCTAGTGACCCCTGTCTTTCCAACAACCTTCCAAGCCTCCGGTGGCCTGTTCAGAGCCACAGCAAGACATGGGAAGCTCATGGTGTCAATGGCCTTTGATGGCCCCTAGCATAGTAATATGCAGTGAGTGAACCACCCGCATTGAAGCCCGAATCCGGATATTTGTTCGCAAACCACTGAGGTTCCCCAGTTCCTCCAGTTGCAATGTTTGGTATGTAACAAAATAGGAGCCCCCGCTCCACAACAAATTGCAGCCTTCATTTTAGTTTCCATTTAAACCAAGGTGAAAAGGGCACCCTCAGGAAATAAGACAAGAACAGCCGTCATGTTGAGGGCATCGAATGGTATGGGTTTGTATCAAGCTGGGGACCCCCTTAGTCTGGTTGGCTTCCTTTTCGTTTCCCTTGGTATGGGTTTATATCAAGCTAGGGACCCCCTTAGTCTAGTTGGCTTCCTTTTCGTTTCCCTTTAACACATCCCCCAAAAACACGGGGGTACGCTGAGCACACACATACCCAATTACTGGTCTGGGTCTCAGACCCTGCTTGGTTCTGACAAGCACCCGGAAAGGGATTCCTCTGGAAGGGCAGACACATACACCCACACAAACAACCTCCATCTCCCGCTTTCGCGCTTTGAGGCACACCATGGAGTTCTCGAACTACTACTCCCTGTCTCGCGGGAGGAGAGTTCCATGCCCATTTTGTTGCACTTGGACCCCAAAAAATGCCTTTGGTCTTCGGCTTTCCTTTTTGCATATTTGTTTCACCAACCCCACCATGGGTACCTGAAAAAAAAGACGACCCTTCTGTTTGGCGAGTTGCTTTTCTTGACTGGGTTCTTCAAAGTCAAGCCATCCTTCTGCCAGATTGCACTGGGTGGGGGGATTCCCTGGTGTCAGCTTCATGAACAACTCTGGGGGTCTGTCCTTGTTTTCAGGGAACCTCCTTTGGTTCGGTGCTTAAAGGGAAGCCAACAGGAACACCAAGTCCTTCTTCTTTTTTGAGGGGGCCGTATCAAAGGCAGCGGCAGGCCTCGAATTTTCCGGAGTTCTTTCTCGGAGCCCCGGGAACTTCAGCCGGGACACTTCCCCATTCTTTCCAGGGGTCCGAATCTGGTCAAGATCTGCATTTTAAATGGCGTTGGGCCTCGACAAGGGACTTTTCGAGGACCCTTGCGATGCTGGCAACCAAACTTTTCGAGGGGTTGGTTCCTTTTCCGTTCTTCTCGGCCATCGTTCTTTTCAACAGCTGATCGCCGTTTCCCCAGGGTTTTTGGTGGTTTTCTGGAAAGGATCCCTGGAAAGAATGGGGAAGTTCCTAGAATTGGTTTCTTTGGTTGGACAAACCGAGGGGTCGACGTTCGGTCAAGACCCATTTCCAGAAGCCTAGGACGACGCCCCCCGGTTGCCACGGTCACTTGGAGTATCTCCTCCAAAACCAGCGCCATTTTTCCGCCGTTGCAGACACCCTCGCCGCTTGATTCGTGCGCAAACCGAGCTTTGCCATGGTAAAGGCCCTGGATCCTAGGGATCCTTTTCCCCGCCGCAAGGCTCAAGTGGGGTCATGGCGCGGAGGTCCCGGAAGCAGAAGACTCG